ACAGTGGGGGGGAATTTGAGGAGACAGGGGTTGGCCTCTGGGCTGGGGAAAAAAGATGGTTTTCTCCCTTTTCCTTGAAAAAAAAAGAAAGCTTGAAAAGATATTGCATGCTTAAGGTACAAAGTGGGGGATCGCATTAAGGTTCCTGAGACAGTTGCAGCTTTTTGGGGGTGTTTTGCTATTTATTGATCTTTCTCCCCAGCCTTTGCAAGTCCCCCAAACTGGTTCCCTGCCAGGGAACTGATGTCTTTCCCCCAACTCCTGCCCCTGACATGTCCCCTTCTACCCCTCCCATAACTCTCCTTGACATCTCCGCTACCTGCTAATGGGATTTTGGGGGAGCCCCGTGACGTCTGTGGTGCCTCGAGTCCATGAAAGCCCTTTGCAGCAAGGATGCTGCACTGGCGACTCTCCCCGACTCTACTAAAGGGGAAAAGAATTAAAGGGAATGGAATTTTATTTCCCCCCATATTTTATTTATTTATTTATTTTAAAAGGCTGTCATTTTTCCAGGCATTTTAACCAAAAGCTTTCGGTAACGGGGCTAATCTGTCTGTGGCCCCTAGCAATGCTCCGCAGCATGCGCACGTGGAGGGCTCCCCAAGGATGGTGTTCCCCAGGATGGAGCATGCTTCCACCTCTTAACCTTTCCTTGCGGGTCAAGTCCTCTATCATCTTTATCATCCCCCCTCCTCATTGTGGCCTTTTTCTTCCTTAGAAGCGCAGTGCCGAGCCCTGCCAGCACGAGTAATTAATCACTTTCCTTATTTAATACAACCCAGCAGACGGATTTTGTGGTTTTGGCTGGGGAGCCATCCTGGCTAACCCCAAATCCTTCCCCAGTTCTAGGCAGGTGTATGCTTGTGCCTTGACAATGCTCTCCCGCATGGATTCCTCCGGAATCGCTCCCTATCGACCCCAGCCCTGTTCCGGCAGTGCGTGCAATCGGAGCCGTGTTCAATTCCCGTCCTCTGAAGCATTTGTGATGGCTCCCGGCGGGTTTGATCAATGCAATTTTGATCTCTTGGCCAATATCCGAGCTGCTCACAAAACAGTGAGTGGTGCCGGGTATGGAGGAGAGCCGCTTTCTGTGCCGTTAAATACCTGGGCTTCCAACCTGAGATATCGAACCACTAATAACCGCTTTCCATTTTTGGCTCTCTTTTTGCCCGCTGCTGCTCCATTTCTCCGCGCTGGTGGCTGAGCGGCGCTTCTCTTGCTGTGATAATCTGAGGTGCTTCTCCACGTGAGCACTGAAGCTATCTCAGCATCTCCCGATCACTAAAGTGGGTTCATTTTTGTGGATGGTTTTGCACGTGCTGTGCATGGGGGATTTTTTTTGACACTGAGCAGGTTTGTGGCGTGGGAGTCCCCATCCCCAGCTGTGAAACCTCTCTCTGTGGCCGGCAATGCGGGTGGTCGGTGTTGCTGATGGGGAGAGCTTGACCCTGCATTGGGCAAAGCCGTGGAGACTAAATCCCTCCTGAGCCAGTAGGTGATGGATAGACTGGCAGAAGGAGCTGTTGGGGTGTTCTGCTCTGTGCTGGAGCCCTCCAGGGCTCCCGCTGAGCCCCAGTAGGGCTGAGCAAGGGCAAGGGCTTGACTCCAGTGCTCTCCTTCCCTGCAGGTGTCCCATCCGGCCCCCGCAACGTCATCTCCATCGTCAATGAGACATCCATCATCCTGGAGTGGCACCCACCACGAGAGACGGGGGGTCGGGACGACGTCACCTACAACATCGTCTGCAAGAAGTGCCGGTCGGACCGACGCGCCTGCTCCCGCTGCGATGACAATGTAGACTTTGTCCCCCGGCAGCTGGGGCTGACGGAGACCCGGGTCTTCATCAGCAACCTGTGGGCGCACACGCCCTACACCTTCGAGATCCAGGCTGTCAATGGGGTTTCCAACAAGAGCCCCTTCCCACCGCAGCATGTCTCCGTCAACATCACCACCAACCAAGCTGGTGAGTCCTGGGACAGCATGGTGCTTGGGGTTTTAAGCTGTACGCTGCAAGTTGCAAGCTCTTGAGTCTGAAGGAAAAAGCTGCTGGGGTGGGAGTGGTGCGTGATGGCTGTGGTAAACCTGCACCCAGCCCTCGGTGGGCTGGGGGAAGGCTGCAAGCGGGGAGAAAAGCCAGGAAAAGAGGGAGGGAGAGGGATGAGGGAGGTGGCAGGGGTACCCACACCCCAGGCAAAGCAAGAACTGGGTTGTGGGAGGGAAGTGGGTGAGGACCGGTATCTGCTTTTTATCCCCCTCTAGACTGCCAGGCATCACTATTTCCTCCCTTTTGCCAGGTGGGGCGAGGGAGATGGGGTGAATCCAGTCTTGAAACACAGCCTGGCTGCATCGCAGCACGGAAGTGGCTGCATCCCAGGGCTGAGTTCAGGCTCCATCTCCTCTGGCACATCCCTGTCCCATCATTTTCCTCTTGTCCCCTTTTCCAGGCTCCCCTGCCCCTTTCCCTCCTTCTTCCATGTTGGGTGTCAGAAGCTGAGCAAGCAGCTCTGGGCCAAACTGGGATTCAGACGGGGGAGTGTGCAGATGGCAAGGGGGGACCAGTCCCAAGCTGCAATGAGGAGCATGGGGAGCCAAGAGGATGGAAACCCGTCTGCTTTGGGCAGAGAAAGGGGATGGTAATTTCTACTTTGTGCCACACGTGTAACGCAGAGCAGCCTTTGCCAACCTGCTCCCTTGGGACAGCACGAGGCAGAAACCTGGCGTAAATATTTTAGTCTCCGGCGCCGAGAAATACAAATGCATGCTTGTGCCTGGCTGGCGTCGCTGTCTCCTGAACCGCGTGCAATCAAACCCGCCTCTGGTCTCCTTGCCTTCTCTCCTGGGGTGGGATTTTTGGGGTGTTTCTTTGCTTGTCTCCCACTTTTTGGCTGCCTGGGAGCTGGGAACAGCCAGCGCACCCGTGTCCATCTGTCTGTCCCCCAGCACTCCCTGTTTGTCTTGCAAAGGCTGAATATTTAACGTGGGAGTCCACTGCCACAGGACAGGCTGCGGGGGTAGCCTGATGGAAATCCATCAGGTGCGTCAAGGGCAGGATTGGTGCTGTCCCTCTAAAATCCCTTTGGCTTTGCAGCGGGTTCTTCCACCCGCTTTCCCCGTGTGGGGCTGGATCCGGGCTGGTCAGAGCATCTCCCACTGCAGGAGAGGCCCCCAGACCCGTCTGCCTTCACGCCGCTCTCCGCACTAACAGGGCGGGGAACGCAGCAATTAACAAACCGGCAATCAAGCTAAGTGTTTAATTTCAGCCCATGAGCATCTTCTCGGAGCGGATGTGGAAAGATTAATAAAAAAATAAGGGATTAAATACGCTGAGTAAACAAAGGCAGTGCCAGACTATTGACATCTCCCAGTGTGGCTGTGCAGAGTGGGGCTCCTGCCACCCCCAGATTCCCTCCATGGCACAGTCCCATGCCCCAGGCCAGTCATGCCGAGCTCAGCTCTGTCCCGGATCCATGGGGAGGAGGCATGTGAGTGAGGTCATGCCAGCGCCTCTTTGGGTGCGGAGAGACTTGGGTACCTTTCTTGGAGGCTTTTGGTAGGGTTAAGTGCAGGATCAGGGTCGTATTGGCTGACTTTAGCCTGCTGGGCTCTGGGGGTGCTGGACTCTGGGGGTGCTGGGCTCTGGGATGTTCAGCCCTGGGGATGTTTAGCTCCAGGGATGCTCAGCTCCAGAAGCAGTCAGCCCTGGGGATGCTCAGTTCTGGTGGTGCTCGGCTCCAGGGACAGTCAGCCCCAGGGATGCTCACCCCAGGATGCTCATCTCTGGTGGTGCTCAGCTCTGGGGATGCTTAGCTCCAGGGATGCTCGGCTCTGGGGGCAGTCAGCTCCAGGGATGCTTGGCTCCCAGCAGCTGCAGAGCAGGCCCAGGGTTGCTTCAGTGGATGTGGAGAGAGGGGCAGTGAGCAGTGGCAGCGAGGACAATGTGCCTGGAAGCTGTTTTAGGAAACGTTCTCACTTAGCTCCGGTCTGGCGTGTGAACTGAAACACTATGGGTGGCTCTGCAGAGCAACGTGGGGTGTGGCATGGCCAACAAGACTGATTAGAAACGCACGGCAGGGAGGGAAGGGGGTCGGACAAACCATGCTAGGCTTGCACCCGAGGCCGACTGTGTGCTCAGCCAGTGCTGAGCATCTTGCTTTCTCTGGGGATGCTGCAACAAGATGCCCAGGACCCCTGTGGTTTGCTGCCGGGGAGGTCTCAGGGGCTGCAGGGATGGAGGTGCTGCCTTTCAAGCACCCTTGGCTCTGGGGCGGGTGAGGAGCTGAAGGGTGGTTTGAAACTGTTCTGCAAGTGTTTGGGCTTTGGAAAGAAAACTCCTGGGAAAAGCATGTTTGGGCACTGAGGATGAGCATCCCCACAGAACCCCTAAGAGCGGACCCAGTGGCTTCTCCAGGCCAGGGCTGAGCTGAAGCCGTGCTACAGGCTCCAGCACCTTGGGGTCCCCTTGCTGGGCTGGGGTGTCCCTCTCTTGGTTTCCCGTCATCGTCCTCAGGGTGGGCAGATTCTTGCTCCTACGTCCTATTACTGACAGCATGTGGGGTCGCAGTGTGGCACCAGCTCCTGCAGTGCTGGGTTCCCCAGAGAGGCTTTTCAGGGCAAAAGATGGCAAGCAGAGCTGGGGACCGTCATCGAGCCTTGTACCCGCCAGGGAGAGCTTTTCTGTCTTTGCCCCTCTGTGGGAGACATCCTTGGAGCAAGCAATCCCAGGGAGAAGGAACACTGAGGATTTCTAAGCCCCTAATTAAAAAGAATAATTGGTTTAAATACCAGAATTCCCTCGCCAGCTCATTGCTCTGGCTCCACGTAAGCTGCCAAGATGTCGCTCTTCCCACTGCTAATTGTGTGAGCTTGTCCCATGGGGCGAACAACTGCAGGCATGGGAGAGTCGGGATACTCCACATGCCCAGGAGATTATTCCCCCTCCCCAGGATGGCCCGTCCTACCCCTCTCCGTTAACTTTCCCTCCCTCCCCGCTTCCTTGGCAGCCCCCTCCACCGTCCCCATCATGCACCAGGTGAGTGCCACAATGAGGAGCATCACGCTCTCCTGGCCTCAGCCTGAGCAGCCCAACGGCATCATCCTGGACTACGAGATCCGCTACTACGAGAAGGTGAGCCGCATCTGCACGCCCGATGTGAGCAGCACCGTGGGCTCCAGGCCGGCAGCGGTAAGCTTGGGTGGAAACCTGGCCACCGAGGGTGGGCTGAGGGCATGCGAAGCTTGGTACCGCACTTGCTGGGGGGCTGCTGAGGTCCTGAGCTTGCTGGGAGAGGAGGAACAGCGACCAGCTCCAAATCAGGCTCTTTGCTGGGAAGGGTCCGGGTGGTGGCATGGGTGCCTGAACGCACACGCTGGCTCCGGAAACCAGGAGTGATATGCAACCAGAGGAAGGGAAGCAAAGTTGTGGCCGCAGATGCTAATTCCTACCCATGGGGAGCGTTTTCTCCAGCAGATCAGTGGCCGTTGCTGCCTTGGCTCTGGTATTGGCCAGGGTGAGGGGGCGTGGGGACAGGAAAGGAGGGGGGATGATGGGGACTGGTGAAGGTTATCGGGGTTGTCCCTGTCCCAGGTCACTGCCCCCCGCCGGCAGCTGTCCTTCCTTGTGGGGGACACGCTCTCGACCCTTGGCGGTGAACCGTGCTGAGCCCAAGCTGTTTCATCCCTCCTGCGTCTTGCCGGCTTTAATGAATTCCTCTAAATGTGAATAATTAGATGATTTCACCGGCGGCCCCTTCATGGCAAATCACTGGGGAATGTTGCAAAAAATGAGATTTGAGGCGCATGATGTCTCTGCCAAGGTTTAGCATGAGGAGCCCTGCCAGCGGGGCAGGAACTGTAAGGGCTTGGGGCTCTTGGCAGAGGCAGGTTGCCCTTGAACCTGCTTGAGCAGGGTCATGTAGTATGTATGTATACAGGGTATGTACGGCGTTTCCATAACTGCGTGCTGTTTCTGAAATGCACAAGAAGGCCAGTGGTTTGCAGATGAGGAACTCGCTGCTCATGGGTGTTTTTTGCTCTGGATGCTCTTCTTATTTCCCCCCCCCCCCCCCACTGCTCCCTGCTCTTCGCCAGAGTGGGACCAGGGGGCTGCCGGGGAGGGACATGCTGCAGGGACCTCCCCAGCTCCCCAGAGCCCAGGCAGAGTGTGTGGGTCTTGCTTCTGCGGGATCCTCCGTGTCAGGGATCGAGGGCAGCCAGGGGATCCAAGCCACCTTGCCCAGGCTCCGGTGCTTGTCCTCCTGGAGCAGAGCCAGGGCCACTGCTTTATCCCCCTGCAGATAAACCTCATCCCTGCCATCAGCGGGGACAGGTGGGCTGCAGGGTGCCTTGTCCCCGCTGCTGACCATCTCTCTCGGCCGTGCCCCCCAGGACCACAATGAGTACAACTCCTCCATGGCCCGCAGCCAGACCAACACGGCCAGAATCGAGGGGCTGCGACCCGGCATGGTGTACGTGGTGCAGGTGCGAGCCCGCACCGTGGCCGGCTACGGCAAGTACAGCGGGAAAATGTGCTTCCAGACGCTGACGGATGGTGAGTCCGGGATGGGGGGGACAGGGAGGCGAAGGGGGGTGGTTGTCTTTCCAGCGACAGCTTCAGGCTCTAATTGGATTAAACAAACTTGTCTCCGCAAACCTCTTTCCCAGCGGGCAGCGTGGCAAAAGCCAGGTGATTTACAATGTCTTATTAATCACCAGCTGGAGGAGTAATCTGCTTTAAATCTCTCAACTCTGTTTTCTCCCCTGCTTATTTAGCAGCAGTTTTGTCTTTCCTGCCTCTGACCATGGTGGCAGAGCCTGGCACGGCAGGGTGGGGAGGAGTGGGGGGTTGTAAACCCCCGGAGGAAGGACTCTCTCTGGGCATGGTCTCCTAGGGTGCTGAAAGCCACATCTGAGCCATTGGGGCAAAGCTGGAAGGGTCAGACCCATCATAGAATCATAGAATGTTTTGGGTTGGAAGGGACCCCAGAGGTCGCCCAGTCCAACCCCCCTGCAGGGAGCAGGGATACCTTTAACCAGATCAGGCTGCTCACAGCCCTGTCCAACCTGGCCTGGAACGTTTCCAGGGATGGGGCCTCCACCACCTCTCTGGGCAACCTGTGCCAGGGTTTCACCACCCTCATTGTAAAGAATTTCTTCCTCAGATCCAGTCTAAACCTACCCTGTTTCAGTTTAAAACTATCACCCCTTGTCCTGTCACGGCCGGCCCTGATAAAAAGATTGTCCTCACCTTTCCTATAGGCCCCCTTTAGGTACTGAAAGGCTGCAATCAGCTCTGCCCGCAGCCTCCTTTTCTCCAGGCTGAACATCCCCAACTCTCAGCCTGTCCTCATAGGAGAGGGGCTCCAGCCCTTGGATCATTTTAGTAGCCCTCCTCTGGACCCGCTCCAACAGTTCCATGTCCTGCTGAGAGCTGATTCCCCACCCTGCAGTGTTGTGTCGAAGGGAAAGGGCCAGGTCATGACCTTCATGGCTTCTTCTGGCCTCCTCATCAGAGTCTTGCTGTTGTTCTGGCCCCAGCCCTTCCCTGCACTCACAAACACTAGATCCCTTTAGAGACTAGTAACTCACAGCAGGATTTTTCATTAATCCCAGTTTCAGGATTAACCCAGGAGTCAGTGAGTGAAGCAAAGCTCCCTTTTGTGGTCTTTGTACCCCTGGGGCAGCTGAGATTCTTGCAGAGAGCCCCTTCCCTGCTGCTGCTGGTGTGGTTGCTGTTCCACTTAAGTGACACCCATGGGTCCCAGCCCTCCTTGGCTGTCTTTGCTAAAACTTTTCTTCTTTCCTAAAACCAGGTTGCCTCATGCTTGCACTCATGTCAAGGAAAACCACACAGGGCGACCAAAGGGAAGGAAATGGTAATAAACTCCCCCAGTGCCTCGAATATTTAGGATTAGAGAAGCAAGAAGAAAAATCCTGCCTCAAATAAGCAATTAATTGAAATTTAATAAGAATGGATAGTGTAGATTATTAAATAATAATTGATTGTGAGATGAGATTTAAGCAGCGTGCAAGAGATAAATCTAGTTGCTAGTAATTAACCGTTGAGTAGAAAACTACAGATAAAAGGGCGCTAAATGCTTTCTTTCGGAGCAAATTTTACTTTAACCCTTGTGTGTGGCTGCTGGCCCAGCCTGGCAGACCTAGCTTTTGGGGACAGTCGGAGAGGAGGGTGATTTTGGAGGGCTGCAGAAGTACCCAGAGTGGGGATGCTGCCCACTATGGGTACCCACACCTCTAAGGGGGCAGGGCAGGAGAAGGGGAAAATGGGGGAAGACACATGGAGGTTGCGAGTGGCTTTTTTGGGGTTCCTCCAGGCATGTCCAGTCCTCCCTCTGCCACCTTGGCTTTCACCCCAGCCTGCTCCCAAAGGACGCAGGGGGCTTTGGGGCTGCTTGGTGTGGAAGGGATGCTGTGGTTGCCCTGGGTCTGCAAAAGGGAGTTGGCTCATGCCATCCGTCAAGATGTAAAAACCCACAAGCAGACCTGAAGCGAAGGCGCTCGGGTTCTCCTGGGCCTTGCTCTCAAGGTTAACTGTTGCGTGGTGGAGGCGGACTCTCTGCTGTCTAATATGGTTGAACTCCTGGTGTGGCCTTCCCCAGTGGTTTGGTTATTAATGGGACCTTTTATCTTCCTCCTTTCCTGCAACTTGTAGGGATTTTATGTCTGTGAGACCCTGTGTTAAATTTGGTCAAAACGGCCAACAAGTTTGAATTTGTGGGAAGAGACACCCCAGAGGCATGGGCAAAGCCACCTTGTGAACCTCATCTCTGGGGGAAATGGGGTCCATTCACATTGGTTTGACTTCATTCCCAAGACCTCCTCTTCCATATTTTTAACCCAAAGTAGGTGTGAGCCAAATGTGATGATCCTTCCCTATGTAATGGCTCATCATCTGCCCCAGCCAATGCTCCCGCCGGTGTCCCCCTTGTCTCACCACCCTGCCATGGGCGTGTGAGGCGGCAGGATTCAGCCCATCCCTCTTCTCTTGCAGATGATTACAAGTCAGAGCTGAGAGAGCAGCTGCCCTTGATTGCGGGGTCCGCAGCAGCCGGGGTGGTCTTCATTGTCTCACTGGTGGCCATTTCCATCGTCTGCAGCAGGTGGGTCCCCATGGGATGCTGCCTCCCTGGAAGGTGGAGGTGGTAAGACGTAGCTCGGAGAAGTTTGGGGTAGGATGGGAGGGATGGGGGACCCCCTTAGCTGGCGAGAGTGCCAAGCTGCTACTGCTCACCGAGCGTTGCTGGCAGGGGAGCGGTTTGGGGCTGTTGCTGGCTGCTCATCCCTCAAGCCTGGCTGTTTTCTCCCCTCTCCTCCCAGGAAGCGCGCCTACAGCAAGGAGGCGGTGTACAGTGATAAATTACAGCACTACAGCACCGGGCGAGGTGAGCGGGGAAAAGCAAGCAGGGGAAATGATCCTAAACCTGTGCCCGGCATGCGCCCCACTCCTCTGCCTTCAAGTGTGCGTGGTGGGGGGATGAAAGCCCTGTGGGGCAGATGGAGAGGACCATCTGGGGAGGGAGTAGAGATGTCCACAGCTCTGTGTCCAGCCTGTCTGGGGGAGCAGGGAGGATGTAGGGGGACAAGGCATGGGGAGAAGATGCTGTGGAGACTCCCAAAGAAGAAAAGGAAGGAGAGAGGCAGTGTGCGGAGTGGGGATGAACTCCTGGTCTCCTGCTGTGGGCTCTGCCCGGGCCAGGATCGGTGCTGGGCTGCTCTTACTGCTAAAGGGACTCTGGATTTTGGGAGCGTGGCTGGGGAGTGGGAGCTGGTGGCTGGCATGGCTGTGTGGCTGATGCTTGCCCTGCACCCTGCTCCAGGAGGGATATGTGATCAGGGACTGGGAAGGTTCAACTGGCTTTGGGCTGCAGATCCCCTTAACCAACAACCAGGAGAGCCTGAGCTTGGCCAGCCTTTTCCTAAGACACCTTTGCGACTGGTGGAGCTGTGCACCAGAATAAATTCGAGGCATCTGTTGTGTGTAACATGTGCTCAGGTGCTCCTCCAGCTCCTGCTAAAGCAGCCAGTGGACTGTTGTGATCACTGGAAATGAAAATAAAGCAGCAAAGCAGCAGCTCCAGGGGGTGAGGAGTTGCCACCCGGTGCCCACAAGCTCCGTGCCTGGTCCCTGTGGGCTGTAAATCCCATTTACACTCTCCTAGAGATGCCTCCCAGGTGTATTTTGCTGCCTTGTGGGAAGAAACTGTCGCTGGGTCCTGGACACCTCTTTGGGGAAAAGGGGTGGCAGTGGGATGTGGGGATGGGTGAAGGATGGCCGGAGAAGCGGGGAGCAGTATGGGTGAGTGGAGGAGAGGGATGGAGATGGAGTGGTCAGCCTGGCAGAGAGCACCGGAGGGCTGATGGGGAAAGGAGGGGTTTGGAGGCAGCTGGGAGAGCCCAGCCGAGATGGCAGCAGCGTGCTAGATCCCTTTTGACCTCAGCTTCACACCAAACCCTTCCAACACGAGGCAGGGCTGTGAGGGGCCGTAAAGCTCCCAGGAAATGATAAACTCTTTTCCGAACATCACTGGGGGTGATACTTAAATACACTGGACCTGTGCTTTTCCTCCCTCTTTTCTTTCTGTTTCTGCACTGTGGGCACTGGGGGAAGATTTATTTGGTGCCTGATGGCTAAACCTGTGTCGAGCTGTGGGTGGACTTATTTTTCCCATTTTTCCCCCCTTTTTTGAAACATTCCCCATGCAAGTGCCCCAAACCCCAGGGTGTTCAAACCAGGTAGGACTGCAATGAAGTGGGTATTTGCATTTCATTTTTAAAGCTGAATGATGCGAGGATCAGTGGCCCGAAAGCCGGGGGTGCTGGGGCTTCCGGACACGCAGCAAAACCCTTTCAAGGTTAGCGAGCCTCCAGGCGCTCAATTATTGCAGGCGCTCGAGCAAAACAGGTGGGAAATTTGTGGCGAGCGACTAATGGAGTAACGAGTGCATCCGCCAGAACAAATCACCCGTGTGTTTAGTGCCGTGGCAATTCCAGCCTCCCCGGCGCGGCTCCGCCATCCCTCCCGGGAGCCCCCCCAGAATCGCCAGCTGCTGGCGAGGACTTCCCCAGGTGGATTTTTGGGGTGAGATGGGGTCTCTCAGGTTGTAATTTCGCATGCTTTATCTCTGTCGTGGCTTCACCAGGAGCTGTGAGATAAGGGAAAGGGGGAAAGCGCTCTGTTGGAGCAGCGGCAATTCAGCCGGCAAGGATTTTCGCCTGTCCCCACAATATTTATTCCCAAGGGAAAAATGATGTCAGAAGGAATCTTAACGCTGGAGTCAGGGTCGCGGTGCAGAGCGCTTCAACTTTCAAAGAGTCTTGAAAAATTTGCCAGCGTCTGCGGTAGTGACAAATGGCCCAGTGCAGTTTCTGGGAGGATCGGGGCTATTTTAAGAGCGCAAAGCTCTCTTTGCAGGCAGGCTCAGCGCTGGTTGCCTTCGATGTTGCGCTCCAGCACCCAGCATTTTGCCTGGCTTTTGCTAGCATGGTGAGGATGGGCCAGTGGCTGAGGTTTGCAGAGAGGAGTAGTGGGTTTAGGTGCCCTAATCCCACTGGTTTGAATGGGATGGGAATGGGGGGGGAAGCTGAACCTAGGGTTTACTGAGCCCACGGGTTCATCAGAGGGTGTTTGAAACCAGGCTGTGTTGACAGTGGGCTGGAAACTTCAGCATTATTGTCTCCTTTATTTCTTCAATATTTTGATCAGTGAGTCAGTCTCGGTTACGATCCTGTAAATCCCTTTGTAATCCTGGCTGGAGCATCAGCTGCTCTTGTAAAAAAATTTATGGGGCAGTTAAAGTGTATGAGGCAGAGCCGTAAAGGGATTTATGAACTGGGAGATGCACAGATGGCTTCATTGCAGCCTTCCCCGCCTGCCTCTGAGGCGCAACGCTTTTGCCCCAAACGCCCCTTTTGAGGATGAGGATGCTCCTGCCTCGTCCCTACCGAGTCCTGGGGCCCCCGCAAGCGGTTCTCCCTTGTTGGCTGTTTTGCACCAGCAGTGCCCTGCTGCGAGGCTTTCATGCATCCTCCTGAATTACTTGCTGGCAAACTTGCAAAGCAGCCAGGAGCTGATTTAGATTCCTGGTGTGGAGGTGACGCTGTGGTCCATGCAGTCATCTGCGTGTCGGCTCTGGAAGCGCTAGCGGCAACAGGATCGTGGCCCTTGGCAAGGTCCTTAACGGTGTAATCAAACGCTGTTAATCACCATAACGCCGAGGTGCCTTGGGGAGGAGGACTGGGCAGCGATGTCTCCTCCAGAGATGACCTTGAGGGGGCTGCTACACCATCCCTGGTCCCCTTTTTGGGTGAGAAATAGGCATAGGAGGCTGAACCCCCAAACAGGCACCACAGCCTCTCTGGGTCCCCTGTACCCCTTATAACGCTGGTGCCCTGCTGAGCCCTGGGGACGGTGGTGGCTGCACTCTGCCCCATGGCCATGCCCCCGGCAGCTCTGCAAGCCCCAGGGCATCCAGACACGATGTCTGCAGACCCCATTTGGGGAATTTGGGGGCCTGTTTTGGTTTTTCCCATTTGAAAAGGACAAGAGCCCGCTTGCTGCATCTCCTTGTGGCCGCATCCTGCTGCCGCACATTGCCCCTGTGCAAGGGACTTGTCACGGAGGCCAGCCAAGCCGTATTTTATGGCTCCATGCAGGTTGTTGATTATAATTGCTGCACTCTGTCAATTTAGTAGCCGCCACAAAGCTATCAGAGGCCTTTTTGGGTAAATAAATATTTCTTTGCTAACGCACAGAGCCTCATAAAGCCCTCGCCGTAAAGCCAGCTAATTGTAGTTCAGGTCTGTAACTACTCCCCGTCGCCGGGGAGGAGGAAGAGGAAGGGTAATGGTGGAGGAGCAGAGGGCAGAGAGGAAGAGGAAGGGATGCAGGGGAGGGTCAGGTGGAGCAAGGGGACCGAAGAGGACGATAAGGGTCTATGGAGGTGGCGCAGGTGAGCACAGTGATTGCTTAACAGGCATATGGAGGGTGTGAAGACACGGGAAGTCTCCAGTTCTTGGCCATGGCACAACTGCTCTTGGTTTTTCTCCCTTTTGCTGTTGCTCCCATGTTTCCTGCACTAAGGGTCTCCAGGGATGAAGATCTACATTGACCCCTTCACTTACGAGGACCCCAATGAGGCGGTCCGAGAGTTCGCCAAGGAGATTGATGTATCCTTTGTGAAGATTGAAGAAGTCATTGGAGCAGGTGAGTCCTGCCATCCCCTGCTGCCCGCCCCTCCCTGCCCTCTCTGCTGCTCCTGCATGGTCAGACACCCACCTGGAGCAGTTTTCTGGTGGTGCTCACGTTGTCCTTCACCAGGAAACCCTCAAGGAAGCCTCGAGACATCAGGCTTTCCTGGGTTTGTGATGGATTAGGGCGGACACGAGGTTGGTTTCTGCTCTCAAAGTTCCTCTGAGGGGGGAAAGGCTCCATGAAAGTATTTGCTGGGTGACTGCGGGGCCTCTTGGGATTTCTTACTTGGCTTTTCCATGAGAAAACAGGAAAAAGCCAGACCTCGCTCTGGTCTGTGCTGTATTCCCATGCATACGTATATATACATGTGTGCACATATCTGTATGTCAGCTGTGCCACTTTTATTGCCATTTTTAAATAACTGTGTCGTACTCGTAGAAGAGAAAGTGAGAAGCTGGGGAGGGGAGGCTGCAAAGAAGCAATGAGCTAGTTTGGTTGGGATCAAGTTCAGCGATGTATTGACTGCCCTTTGCTGCTCATCAAGGCAAAGCGGCTGCAAACCTGGCTTAAATGTAATCCCTCCACAGGCAAATTTTCCCTTGGCAAAGGAAAAGCTTTCCCGCTGTAAAGGAGAGGACGCTTTCTCTGTATTTTAAATCAGAGGGCAGCAATGAAAACAGCCCAATTATTTTCCATTCCACGATAAGAGATGTACAAAAAGGCAACTGAGATTATCAATACCGACTCCTTATATTTGAGGTAGTCCTTACGTGTTGACACTCTTGCTCTGCAAATCCTTCTTGCAGGGGTTTGCGAGAGCAGCCCCAGCCTCTGCTTCTGTTGGTGCTGGACACTGTCACCTTGGAGAAGGTTGCAAGCCCAAACACGTCCTCAGCAGCAGCCATTGCCCCTTTTAAAGAGGGCCAGCAAGTAGATTTATAGAGGAGAGCATCACTGAAGTGTTAACTGGCTGACGTTTCTCAGCCGGTCGGTTTGGAGACCAAGCAGCTCAAGGTACCGTTACTCTTTGCAGTGTTTTATGTGGAGGAGGAGGTGGTAGCGGATGCTCTTGCACTTGCAGGGGAGTTTGGAGAAGTGTATAAAGGACGCCTGAAGTTACCTGGCAAACGGGAGATCTATGTGGCCATCAAAACGCTCAAGGCTGGCTACTCCGAGAAGCAGCGCCGGGATTTCCTGAGCGAGGCCAGCATCATGGGGCAGTTCGACCATCCCAACATCATTCGGCTGGAAGGGGTGGTGACCAAAAGCCGACCGGTCATGATCATCACAGAGTTCATGGAGAACGGGGCCCTGGACTCGTTCCTGCGGGTAAGGCGAGGGGGGGGCTGTGTGGGCTGTTGGGATTCTATGGTGGTGCTGATGGACTCGATGATCTTAAAGGTCTTACCCAACCAAATGAGTCTTTGATTTGGGAACAAGGTTTTGGCATCCTGTCCTGTAAATCCCTGTTTCCTTAGTTCGGGAGGTGGTTGCAGTGAGCTGTACACCCCCGAAACATGTGTGTTTTGGTGCTGGCATACTTCTGCTGTCATCAGGCAGGGCAAGGCATCTGGGCAGTCCACTTGGAAGGTGCAGTGTCCTCCCAAGGCTGGGGGTGAGCGGCTCTGGTCCTGCGGTGGGGTCTGCACCCTCACCCCAGTGCCTGCTCTTTCCTGTTGCAGCAAAATGACGGGCAGTTCACAGTGATCCAGCTGGTGGGGATGCTCAGAGGAATTGCTGCTGGGATGAAGTACCTTGCGGAGATGAATTACGTGCACCGAGATCTGGCTGCCAGGAACATCCTGGTCAACAGCAACCTGGTGTGCAAAGTGTCGGACTTTGGCCTCTCGCGCTACCTGCAGGATGATACGTCTGACCCCACCTACACCAGCTCCTTGGTACGTGCCTCTTGCAAGATTTAAAAGCTGGGCAGACAAGGTCCTTAGGAACAGGGTTTAGTGGTGGGATGGCAGGGTTAGGGGAACGGTTGGGCTTGATGATCTTAAAGGGCTTTTCCAACCTAAATGATTCTATGATTTGGTCTTGCTCATCATCCTGCCCTGCACTCACTGCCAGCTCAACCTGGGAGAAGGGCGCTGGACAGATGCCCCAGAGCTTCTTACTGTGGGTGGGAGCATCTCTGGAGGGTTCCCACCACATAGGCTCATGGCCCAGAGACCTTGGCTGTGGTTCCCAACCATCATCCTCTTTTCCATCCTTTCTCTCCCTCCCTTTTTTCTTTTCTGCCTCCCTCCTCCCCCAAGCACCTTTCTGCCCTCGGCAGTTTCCAGATAAGTGGAGGGAAGGTGCATGGAGGAGTCCCTGGAGAGACCAGGAAGGGGAGGCAGGGAGATCACAGCATCTCCCAGCAGCACAGCAACGGCATTTTAACTCCCCTTCCCCCAGTGCTCCAGGTCTGGTCTGCCTTTCTCTGCTGGAAACTTGTCCCAGGTGATAATTAAAGAGACACAAGCCTAATGGGAGCTCTGCTGTTCCCCAGCCACCCTTCTGTCCTTAATTAACTCATTTGTAGGTAATGGCAGCCCTGCTCCCCCCTTGCTCCCCGCCGGCCCAGAGGAAGCCCCAACTCCCCATCATGGCCATCCTCCTGCCAGTGGGTTCACAAGACCCTTACGGTGCTGAGGATGAATGGAAGAGAAGGGGACAAGCAACCTGTTGACCTCATCTAATCGATTAATTAAAAGAGCCTGTGTTGGGTGGAAGCGCAAGGCTGCACCCACTCCTGCAGAAGCAGTGTCTTGGGCTGCCGAGCTGCGCCCGGGCCCCAGGGCTGGCTCCAGCCTCCAAAATGGGAAACCCACAGAGGTGCCTTTGCCACTGCCGTCCTGTTTTGGCCTGGCTGCAGCCCCTTGCTCTTCCTCCCCTGCTTGTGGGATGCTTCCCTCTCCCCGGACCTGCCTCGCTCCCTGCCTGCACCCATCCCACAGCCTTTGAGCAGACACCCATCATTTATTTTTTGTTCAAAGACCCCGGCGGTGTCTGCTGGGATGAGGCATGAAGTAGCCTGTCCCCACCTTTAGAGACAAAAAGAGGTTATCTCATCTGTGTTTTTATTTAATTTAGGCCATAATAGATCTCCCCGGCAGCTGGGAAGTGATGCTGTGCCCGCGATTACATCACTCTGCCTCCCACAGCAGGTTGTTAGCTCTGGGGAAAAGGCAGGAAAAACAACCTAGCAGTTAATTTCTCCATTTGTAGTTATTCAAATCCAATTTTTTGCCATTCATCTTTCAAGAGCAGCTGATGCTTTGTCAGAAAGGCTACGGAAAACAATTGTGCCAAACGATTTACGATGCAGTTCTGCCCAGAGTAAATCCCGTGGGTGTCTGTGGGTTTCCTTCACCTCTTGGCTTTTTTGGCTGGTTTTTTTTGTGGCGCTTGCCCAGGGAAGAATCCCTCTGTACGTGCTGCCCCTCCACAGCATCCCTGCCCCCTCGGCATGGCCTCCAGCCCTTCCTGCCCTGCCAGGAGCTGGGACCTGCTTGAGATGCCGAGCCTAATTTTGAGCTTTTAGGAGAAATGAGGGGCTCTCTGCCAAAGGTGCACTCCTATTCCGGTGCTTTCCAAGTCTCCTTTGGGGCTAAAAAGTGTTTTGCTTTTTGCCTTCCGCTCCCAAAGTGGGGCTGGAAGGACCTTCCAGCAGCTGTGGGAGACCAGATGATGCCGCAGAAGATTCTCTTAGGTTAGACCTTGTTACCATTGAAAACCGAGGGACAGGGATACCTGCGGCTCCTTATCTGAGGGCTAGCGCCGTACTGCATAGCTCTTGCCATCTGATGGATCCCCAGGAAGGGACCTGGGAACAGGCCACCAGTGTGCCGGGTCCTGCTGAGCAGCCAGAGCAGGGAGGTGTCACTCGGGGGTGACGCCTGAGTGGGGTAAACCCTTGGATAATTGTTTAGTTTAGCTCAACCCTTTTGTGCAGGTACGAGAGAAATTCAGGGAGGTGGTTTTGGCTCCTGCCACGTCCTCCCATCGGGTACTGCCTGCCAACTCCTCAGGGGGGTCCCCGGGGACCGGCAGCCCCGGGGTGTGTGGGATGGCTCCAACCCTGGCTGGCAGTGTCCAGGCTCTTCTGCCAAGAGTGCCATTTCTCAGCTTCTCTCCCTTTTTTCCGTAGGGGGGGAAGATCCCTGTCAGGTGGACAGCGCCGGAGGCCATCGCCTACCGCAAGTTCACCTCGGCCAGCGACGTCTGGAGCTATGGCATCGTCATGTGGGAGGTGATGTCGTTCGGGGAGAGGCCCTACTGGGACATGTCCAACCAAGACGTAAGCACTGGGGGTCATCCACGCAGCTCTGGGAGGTGTGTGTGTGGGGCTCATCCCCAAAAGAAAGCCCTGCCTGAATGCCTGCTCCTTCCCGGAGCCTCAGCAGTGCTCGGTTTTGGAGATGAAACAGGCTGGTAAGCGAGAGGATGCAAGGAGGGAAATGGGGAGGAAAAGCCAGCGGGCTGGTAATTGGACTTCAGGAAGCCGCAGGGCCTTTGAAAATGTTCAGAGGGTTTATGAGCGGGGAAGGAGCTTTGGTAGTTGGACTCCTGTACTCCGATGCGATCCGCCGAGATAATGAGTGGCAGCTCTCTGCCGAGAGGAACTGCGGTGCGCGGAGCATCAGAGCAGAGATTAACCTCTGAGAGCCCCGGCTCCAATGGAGCCGGGAGCGCCTCCTCCTGCTCCCTTTGCTGATGATCAAATGGGCTGGCAGCTGTCTCCCTGGCCTGCGGCAGCGCTGCCTGCAACGCCTCTGCCCGCACAGGCAGCTCGGCTCAGGGAGAGGAGCGGCAAGGGGTGGCTTGCCCCCCGCGACGGCTGCGGTTTTCCCTACGCGAGACCGCCGAGCCCCTCGTCCTCACGCGCTGCTCCCTGCAGGTCATCAACGCGATCGAGCAGGATTACCGGCTCCCGCCGCCCATGGACTGTCCCGCCGCCCTGCACCAGCTGATGCTGGACTGCTGGCAGAAGGACCGCAACACCCGCCCGCGCTTCACTGAGATAGTCAACACCCTTGACAAAATGATCCGCAACCCGGCGAGCCTCAAAACTGTGGCTACCATCACCGCTGTGTGAGTCTCCCAGTGCGTGGGGGGTGCTCTCGTGTCAACATCCCAAGCCGCGGAGGAGAAAGGCTTCCCGAGCGGCTGGGGGGGAAGGACGGGAATTCATAAATCGTTCACTAGGCGTGGGGGTTTTTTCTGTCTTTGCTCTGCCTGACAGTCAGACAAAGAACATGTAGCATTCAGTCGAGCAACAGCAATTGTTATTTGCTATTGATTCTTTATGGTGTGTGACTGTATGGGCGCGGTGTCTCCCCTGCTGGCGCCTCCGTTCCTCCAGCTCCCACAGCTGGATTACAGTGTGCAGGGTTTCGAAGCGCTTCTTGGTGGGGCG